AATAATATAATATAATAATAATATATAATATAATAATATAATAATATAATATAATAATATAATAATATTAATCATAATGATTCTTCTTCTTCTTCGAATATTAATGGTCCTGGTCTTAAAAATGATACGATGCATGAGGCGAGACGAAACAGAAACAGAAACTATGAAGTTTGTAGAGCTACAATCAACTACAACTTACAGCGCCACTAGAATGAGATAGCATGATTTTTTCTCTCTCGCACAATTTCGACGAATAATGGCGGACTTCACGTGTCCAGATTCTTATTAGAGGGTCACTAGTTTTACTCAGTCTCTCTTTCGGATTTCACCATTTCGACAAATTTCTTGCTGAACGAACTCCCATGAGATTGCTCACATTTTCGCTATGATGAAAGTTCGGGAATCACGCGATGTGAGTTGGCTCACATTTTCACCATGTTAAAAGTTAGAAACATGAAGGAAGATATAAGGAGACTCCATTCAGTCTCGCCAGTCTACAAAACATGGACCCATTTTAGGTTTCGAGTTCAGTTTCCGATTCTTGACACTCGCAGCGCTCGTGAATTTAGTAGTGCTGCGCATAATGAGTGCGAGTAAGAGAAATGATCATTTCTCTTACTCGCACTCATCAGAATCGGAAACTGAACTCGAAACCTAAAATGGGTCCACTTTTATTTTACGGAGTGGAGTCTCCTTATATCTTACTTCCTGGTTAGAAAATTGACCCCTTGGTCTCTAGTTGACATGATCATTACGAAAGGGTTAAGCGGGGAGCACAGACTTTTACACAACGCATAAAGCATGTGCATAAGGAATTTCATTGGTCCATTTTCTTATGCATGAATCAATGGACCAATCAAATTCTTTATGTATATGGTTTATGCGTTATGCAAAAGTCTGTGCTCCCCGCTTTAGGTTACGTATGGGTACAAGATGTCGGACAGAAGTAGTGGTGGGGGACAGTTGGCGCATCTTTCATTATAGGCACAGTACATACAGTAGCGCAACTCCCTGTCGGCACCTTTGATGTCGGCGTGTACGAAAATGAACTGCACATGCGCGAGCTATGGGTGTAACCAATTATAGACCTGCTCTCTTTATCTGCACTGGATCGCACTAAAACTGACTATTTCATTTTTAGTGCAACAAATGTACATGCACTACTTAGGGTTAGATTCTCAATCGACATACAATGTTAAAAAAATATTTAAAAAATATTTTTTAAATATTTATTTAACGTAAAAATATTAAATAAATGTTTTAAACATGTTTTTTAAATATTATGTACTGATTGGATTAGATTGCAAAAAAAAACACATGTACATTTACGTATCATGCCATTAAATTTCTATTTCAATTTTTCTTTTATTAATAATTTTTATTTTTTTAGTTTATTATTATATGTAAAATATGCAATATTGCTTATATATGTAAAATTATATGTAAGAGACGTATACAATGGGAAATGATGCATTTTCTTAATAATTTATGCAGTTATTTTAATTAATTCAAGTCAAGTTTATTACAAAGATAATATTATTATATTTTTCTGACATCTCATAACATGTCCGCATCTTAAGCAGCATATTCGCACGCATCTGTATGCATTTAGTTGATCCAATGTAAAAATTACGAACACCCCTGTTTAAGTAGTCGCATAGTCAATCGCAACGTAGTCAAATGGGATTTGAAGCCACTCTAAAAACCTAGACACCTATTACATAATAAACAAAATATATAGATTTCAAAATTGAAAAAATATGATTGTACTATATATCCTTATTTTATATTTTCTTAACATATACATATATATTATATAATTATAACACATAAATACATCATAAAATAGAAATATTTACAGAATAACATAGCACACATGCACATAAATTTTTATATATTACCAAATTTTCTTTCTTCTCTCCCAACTTTCAATCATATCTCAGCTACTCGATCCACCTCGATATGAAACAAAGAGAGAGAGAGAGAGAGAGAGAGAGAGAGAGAGAAAAGTTTCTTAAATTAAAATAATTAACAAAATAAAATTTTTGTATAAATTATATAACATATATCGCAAGCATTCGGCAACAACAATCAGTGCAAACAATTCAAATAAAGTTTACTTATAATAAAACAAACATATAAGATATACATATCTTATACATATTTTACATGCATAAAAAGAAAAGTAAGAAAAAAGGAAAGTTATAAATGCAAAATATTACAAAGTTTTCTATTCTTTCTATTACCTGCACTTTTGGATTGTTTGTTGTGTTCAGACAAAGTATAATAAATACGCATGCGTATAAATAATTTAATCAAATAAACTGTTGGGAAATTTTGACATGGTGATTTAAAAGGTACAGCTTGCGCAAGTTCAAATAAATATTTACCAATATTTTTTTGAAAACAATGACTTTCAAAATTGGTGACAAACATTTTTTCTAATTGATGAACATAAGAACAAAAATTGTAACTTGCTACATGCAAATTTCCGAATGAATTTTCCTCTGTCGTGGCAAAAGCTCGAAAAGAACAATACAAACTAGTATCATCTACGACAGTCTTGCTTTCATTAAGATAAGTTAAACATGCTTGACATGAATGCATTTGTAAACATTTTTTAATTAGATATCCACATACATATCTAAATGCATTCTCTTCTGGCAAATCCATATTATAATAATCATGATTGGGAATATCTAAAATTGGACGTGCTGAAGATGGAATGTCACTTGATACAGAAGGTGATACAGAACTTGAACATGATGCTCCAATTAAATTTAACATTTCGTCATTATCTGCAGCACAATTTTGCGTATCTGCTGCATGTTGAAAAATTCTCATGCTGAATAATTTTTTGAATGCACGTGTAAACTGAATTGGTGTTGGATTTAAACAATTACCACCCTGTTGCCTAATGGATCCAAAAAAATTTTCGAGACAATCTTGATTTATTTTGCGTGTACGAATATATGGAAAGTCATAACATTTTAATTTATTCCAAAGTAGTATTATACTTTTAATTGTTACCTGCCAGCATTCAAAACAATTAACTTTAACACGTAAATCTTTATCATCAATTACAGTGATACTTTTCAAAAAATGTATCATTTCTTCTAAAAATTTAATTTGTGTATCGCTTCCTGTGAATAATTTTCCATATTCTTTGGGACTATTTATTGCAAACGAATTTAGAATATCAAATAATTTATCAAAATGATCAATAAAATCTATAGTTCCCACTGCTTCAGTTGAAAGAAAGCCGGTAGACATTTGTGTACACATGCCCGCGGCAACGCGATTACTAAAAATTTGAACAGCATATTTAACTTTCATTTTTTGAAAACTGGTAGGTTCAATATGATTTTTAGATAGCTTTGGAGCGGTTTTAATCCATTGTTTGCTATCTCTATTGTAAAATTCCACAATATGACTCCATGACGCAAGTTTGTTTATTCCAAATTGTATGCGATATTTGTATAAATTATCACGTGTTCTTTTCATTAAATGGGGAGTATCAAATATATATAAAATTTCTAATTCGTCAACTAAAAAAATTGAATTATGTGTTGAAATTCCCAACTCACGAGATAGTTTCATGAAATTAGACCCCATATCCGTAATTAGAGCATGTACAGTTGCACCACAACTTTGTAACTTACGTATAGCATCAAATAAAATAGGTTTTAATCTATCAGAGCTACATGCTGTTTCAACCAAACAAAAGCAAACTGGAAGTTTCCAGTTACCTGCAATGCTGCGTGCCATAATTACTAAAGCATTTTTTGCAGGTTTTACTGATTTTCCATTACCTGTATCCTCGAACCCGATGATTTCATCTTGTGAAATGTTATAAAATAAATGAGCTTTTAAACTCATTTCATCTATGCACAATATACAGTGGCGTTCCAAAAGTGGTAATAAATTTAATTTAACGGCTAGAACATCAAAAATGTTATCGTTAATACCGGGCTTAATTTGCCATGTTTGCGTAAATAAATGTAGACTACGTATGGAAGGTAATGCAAATTGTGTCTTAAGTTCTCGATAATTTCGCGGACTTAAAAAATATAAACGTAATGCAAATTGTTTAAATTCTGAACTGTATCTTCTTCCATGTTTGCTTTTAATTTGCGCGTCAATTTGTACAGACAACAATTGTGCGAAATTAGTAGGTAGTAATTTACAACTTAATTGACGCAGAGTTTCATATTCTTTGGGTCCGTCTTCAATTACTTTTTTATTTTCCATCTTCTTTATTTTTTTCTGAAGTCGCCTAATTCTTTCGCGCAGCTTTCTATTTTCTGCTTGTAATTTTAAATGCCGTTCCTTCATTTTCCTTTTTAATGGAGTTTCTTCTACACGACTTATTAAATGCTTGCTGCTAGATGTACTCCTACACAAATATAACATTGTTGAAATACATGTATATATGTATATTGTATATGATTGAAAACCAAAACGTAATTACACAAAAAAATAGAAAAAAAGAATTAGAATACTATAAATGAACAAAATTATATTATTACATTAATATATTTCTATTTTGTTTAAAATAAATTTAAAGGAAAACAGCAAAATTATATAAAAGTGTAAAGCTACGAAAAATATTTAAGTTTTGAAAAATTGTTATGTGTGTGTGTGTGATTTTTATAAATTGATCATATAAAAATAATATATTTGAAATGCGTATATGTACCCAGATAGCCAAACCTGCAAAGCAATCTCTTTTAACAGAAAAGCAACAGATTGCACACAAAATCTGTTTATCAAATTGTGACGGCAGACTGACAGCAGACTGCGCGTCGATTTAAATATACTGAAACGACATAGGATCTGTCGTTTCAGTGTATTTAAATCGAACATACTGCAAGCCAGTCTGCCGACAGAGTCTGATAAACAGAATCTGTTGACAGATCACTTGCCGTCTGGTGACGCAAATGTCTATGGATCTGCTGATTCTGTCAAATTTGTCGCTAATCTGACGTCAGCCTATACACATATTGTTTACTCGGTAACTAATTCCAAATAAAAACTTACGGTGTAACAATCTTGGATGTCTCAGCGGTCTCAATATCTATATCCATAGGATCAATTGCTTTTGACAACTGCATATTGCTAAAATATATCACATATATTTTTAATAGAAACATCTGCCTTGATAAAAAATAAAATATGTATTTTGCAATAAAAAATAGGTGTCAACAAAATCGGCTATTATTCTTATTAAAGAAAAAAAAGATATGAAGAAGTTTGAAAACCTGTTCGTTTCTTTTTGTTGATCTTTTCCAATTGTCTTATCACTATTTTCTTCTAGTGCACTTGCCACTGTTGTTAAATTACCATCTTCTTTTAGTACGCTTGTCGCTGTTGTTGAATTACTATCTTCTTTTATTGCACTTGTTGCAAGTATATTGCTGGAAAAGTTATATCAGTTTATACATTATCAGATTGAATACAGAATAATACATTGTATTGTACATAATGTTTATTATTTACTCTCTTTCAAAAAATATCGTCGGTATGGCATCAGGATAAAGATGAGCTCTAATTTTGCCTATTTTATACCACTTTTCTTCAAAATGCAAATGGCACAGTCTACAATTGCGATAAGCGTACTCTGGACCCATCACTTGTAAATCTAATCTTTGACATGCATGTATCCATTGTAACCATCTGTAAGTGTTACAACAAATGGTTAATATAAAAATACACATATATCTAGTATAGATAGATTATAGATTTAAATGTGTGTAGATTATAATGTGTGTACAAAAAATAGAAAAATTACAGATAAATTACAATATAATATAAAAACTGAATTATACATACTTAAAAATATAATTAAAACCAATATGTACCTGTCATGCTCTTTTGGAAACGAAAAAAAATGTCTTTTCTCTGTGATATTATTGTTGCACCCCTTTGCAACACACCATTTCGATTTATGGGCTAACATCTTTTTGTATTTTTTTTTATCAGTTTTATCTTATATATATATATTTTTTTTATCTTCTAAGAAGCAGCACCTGCAACAAAGCTAAGATCAAAAGTGCAGTTTTCTGTAAAAGAATTGAAAATCTGTAAAATCTATACAGATTAACTATTCTGTACAGAAAAAATAATCGTTCTTGGTTAACTTTCACTTTTCACTTAGCACTATATTCACTAAACATTAAACACAAAACACTTTTCTATTCACTTTCTTTAACACGTCTTATATTTAACAATAACACTGCTCTGACTTTTTACTTTAAATCGCCTTGAATTCACTTTTGTCACATTTACCGCCAATTTTGGCCGTTGGGGCATTTCAACGACAGAGAACACTATAGAAAAGCAAACAGAGCAAGTGCGACAGAAAGATTCTGTTACGTTATTGGTTACACCCATAGCTCGCGCATGTGCAGTTCCATTTCGTACACGCGAAAATCCGAGAGTTGCGCTACTGTATATACTATGTTATAGGTCTTTAGCTTTGTCTAAGTCGCATTTTGCAATTTAATAAATCAAAGTATTTTTTTTTCTAAAAGTAGGCATGAAAACACACATTTTCATTTTTTATTCATTGAAATTGACCTAATAGAACGCCCAGAGTAATTTTTTGAAGATAAGCGTTTTTTGGCTTTTTTCAAAAATTAAAAAAATTCTATCTGGGGATGTAGGAGACCTAGAGGGCTGAAATTTTGTGGAAAGCCTTTTTTCAGTAAGTACTTTAACATAAAAAATCGGCGGCCAAATCGGCCGACCCCCCTGCGACAGCATTTTGCGAAAGTTGGCTGGAATTACCCGTATATATACACATGTTATATGTTATATATATATATATATAAATATATAAAAGCACAGCAACTATTAGACATTTGTTATTCACCTATTTTATTTGAAAAAAATTATTGGAAATACGGCACATTATATAAATCACATAGTCTGAAATAAAATGCACATACATTATAATTTGCAAAAGTATTGACTTATAATCGATTAACCGAGGCCATTTTCTTTTTTTTTTTTCGTTGTATGCTTAATGTGCTTTCAACCAGTCTCGTCCAATGTTGATTATTCAGATTCAGACACGCTGTTTTCTTTCGACAGGTGACAGATTAGGTCAGCTATCTTTCTCTCTCACACTTCCGGTTATACCCCAAGCGACGGGAGCCAATCAGAAAACGTTAACGCATTGTCTAATCTCTCTTATAGTATCTCTAGACCACGCGATCTTCCTTCTCTTCTTATTGACGGGACACTTTTTCCACACGCTCAACTACTCTATCTGTATTATCTCTATGTGTAAACCAGGCCATAGTACTGGACTGAGCATGCGGCGAAATCTTTTTGATCTTTCGTGTGACGGACCTAGAAAGAGTTAAGGTACTTTTTCATGCGCAGCACGCTGCAGCAGCAATTCGTTACTATTGGTTAAGAATTTTATGTAAGCTAGATGACGCACTTCCGGCGCAAAATACATTTTGCCGCAGTTCGTTGAAGTTGAACCGAACGAACAGCAAGC